TATGTGCCCACGTACGCAGCTAGAACCTCCAGCTTCTCCAGTTTGTTTATGCATATTTTCTCGCAAAGTCGGCGTCAGCAACTGTCAAAACGCAATTACAGATCCGCCCATGCAAATGCACGTCCGGAGTCGATGCATTTCTGCTATAAACTGAGCTAGGGTATTGGACGCATCCCTTCCAAGCGGCAACTGATCACCATATGGCTTATTGGCGTCCGTGGCTCGTTCGATGTTAGAGGACGACGTGCCACTCTGTGGCAGTTGCAGTGTCTTAAGTAAGTGCTCACCCTGAATAGACGAGCGCCGCCGCATAATTGTGACAAACCCGCTGTGTAACCGTTGCTATAGCTTACATCATTTTAGTCTCCCGGATAAAGCACATAAGTGAACAACATTCTAGCTATGGCGTTCTGATCACGAGTAAACAGTAGATTATCCATAGATTTCACCGACTACTAATTGATATCCAGTCAAACAGGCAGCTCCAAACCTGTGCTGCAGGTAAGACACACACTGACCCGAGCAGTATTCGTAGCTGCGTCACTTCCGGCAGCAGTCAATTAGAAGTGGTGCCAGTGTTGATAGCCTGAGCTGGGCTGGAACTCAGAGTCTAATAGCGCATGGTTGACGCCATAAGCAATAAGCCACTGAGATCCGCGAGCAACGCTTGGCAAACAGCGAATTCTGCAAGTCCAACTTTGAATTCGTTTCCGCTGTACCAAGCGTTGCTCGCGGATCTCAGTGACAAAGTGCTTATAGCGTCAATTATAAGCCACTAGGCTCTGAGTTCCAGCCCAGCTCAGGTTATCTTCAACTGATGAGTGCAAACCAGGACGAAATCGCGGTCGTGGGGTGCCAGTGTTGGGATGAGCGACACCATAATGTTATCATTTTACCTACGGTCCTTGTGATCCGAATGATTGAGGTCCACCTCAAGTGAACCGAGGTCTTAATAGAGGTTGCTTGTAGCAACCCAACCACACAGCGGATTCTCCAAGTCCAAACTTAAGGGCAGTGTTATATGAAGGAGAAGGCTGCGTGAGAACGGATCTCGAAGCCTGTACCCGGGCTTCCGTCCGATGGTAGTTATCAATGGTGGGAAAAATTAGATTTGCTGACGCTTTGTGATAAATAATTTACGTTTATGCTTGCTATCCTTCACGAGGATCAAGGGTTCCACATGGAATCTGATTTATGGAGGTCGTCCGTTTGACTGGACATGAATTTCTTGACTGAACCGCAGCGACATCCTGCGATGTCACAAGAGTCGAACCTACAAGTACAATGTTTATCAAAGAAACGTGGTAAACGTCAAAAGCCCGAGGGAAAAGAGGGGGCCAAGTGAATTTGGTACTTGACGGAAAGGATGGAAAGCTTAGGAGAAGGAATTAGAAGACGGGCAGGGCTGAGCGGCAGCACACTCACCATTATCCACTCTGCTAAATGAAGCTGATATTCCGCAGCTGATAATCCTATGTGACGGCCAGATCATCAAGAAAATGCTTAAAGAAATTTTCGTGGTATTAAGTAGGATAGATACCGTCAGCTTCCTAAGTCCTAGACAAGTACACGGTAAGAAGGCTCAATCAAAGCCTTTGGTTTAATAAATTGGCCACAAAGCAGCGGGAGCGGGACGGTGGATTACGACGGGTATGTTTTAAGAAATAAAGAACAATCTTTATTCCAACATCCAAAATTTAGAATCAAGGAATTTGGCCTATCTGGTCGCTAACTTTAAGGCCATCGGGAATTAATGACTCAGAATGTAAAGAAGCACCACCCAGGACAGTTCAATTGATCGTTGAAACACGCACGCAATCATACTAACTTGATGCTTAAGCTATGTTTAGAAAACCATGTAGAAAATGACAGTATGCTTAATCGATTGTAGCAGATTGGTTGCATTTCGCTTCAGAAATAACTGATTCAAGTCAATATTGTGAACGGTGTACACTCATATTTGAAACACTTAGTTCCCTCTAACATTCTAAACAATGCAGTGGGGAGACAAAAGCTGGCCCATGTTAAGACTTCGCATTGTCTCCTCAGTGTCTATACGATAAAAGGAAAATGTATATAACTGCAGCTGGGGTACGACCGAGTAAGATAGAGACAGATGTGCCGCAACCACGTCCATGGGAGTCTTAGGCTGACAAACAGCATTTTTGCACAGTGTATCGGTTAGATCCGGCTGTTCGCAACAAAATTCGCAAAACGCAGGAAGCGGTTGGCATGTTCAAACAAGTTTGTGAACATTGTGGTTGGATAGAATGAATGGCAAGCGGCCGATAAATCTCTACGCGCATTGTTCAAGCAGAATGAGCGCTTACGGCAAACTGTCGAGCACATCAATACCTCATGTGCTGTGAGAAAATGATGCCCGTTGTCATCCTACCTATTTTACTTCTCCTTCGAGGAAGTTATGGAAACTGTGCACGCTGGACAATACTTGCAATGCGTAGAACTTCTCCCAGGTAATCAACTTCTTGACTTGACGTATTCCGAGGACAATGCACTTAACAGTGACAGCTTTCAAATGTGCCAAGTAGCAAGCGACAAATTAGCACTGGTCGTTAGTCATTTCGGGCTTTGCTTTGCACCTTCGAATTGTCAAGTTCTTCTCCAAGATGGTCAGTAAGACACTCGTGCGCTAGTACTCAGGGAGGAGCAGGTAGATTTCGTCGAGAAATTCAAGTATCTAGGCAGCCGTATCAGCACCAGCCGAATTGAAGAAGAAGTCACAAACCGCAATGCAAAAGCTCAAGGTGTTTTTTCCAATCACCGCCACCTATGGCGCCGACACCGTATCACTGCCGCTTTGAACGACAGAGGGTACAGTGCAGCCGTCTTTTCAACCCTACTGCGAGATTGCGAAAACTGACCCAGCAAGTCGACGGACATATAGAGACTAGTCACTTTCGATCATAGCAGCCATCGCAGCTTAGGTCATGTTTGGTGGGAGCACGGCGTGAGCCATGCGTATCTGGTGCAGAAAGAGCGAGTGAACCGCTCAGCACCATAATATCACACAACAGACTGCGATAGTTGGGCCACGTGTTGCGCATGCTAACCAACCGACTCCCGCGACGTGCTTTGTTTCTGTGCTCTAGGGGTGCGTTTGAAAGAAGTGGATGGGAAGCCAAGCAATGACTTGGTCAAGATAAATGAAACCCCTCACTTCGAAATTGGCGTTGATTGGTGTGTCCCGACTGCGTGACTTGGGTCCGAAGAAGGATGAACACGTTTGGTTGGGTAACTAGTTGACATGGCAAAGTGCCGAACTCAGTAGTGTTTGTGTTGTGAGTTTCCTTGTTTCGCCCTATTCCGTTAATCTTCCGCTTCCAACTACGATTTCTGCCTTGACGTGTCACGTGTTACTATGAATCCTGTCGCCTGTTATTTTGCATTCTATATTTTCCAGTATCTTGCTTTTTCGTCTGTTTTTTATTCGTGTTGGCGCAATAGTTAAAGTGTGTTTCTTACCTACAGCTAGTATGTAATGATGGGGATGTGTGTTAACATGTGAATGAAGCAGGTAGTATTCATGTAAATATGGTGGACGAAGCGGACGACTGGGTGATTTCACGCTGCACTCACTTAGACACACCTTTCCTTACACTGGAATTCAACATGCTATCTGTGCGGCTGAGGTAGCTTGTTCCGCAGCCACAGGTAAATTAGCAAATACACCATGTTGGCACTGACCAGAAGATATGAAATGTTAACACTCATATGTCTTCAATAGTCGCGTGCTGGCGTGTAACCGACATTTATGCCCCCAAACATTTTGCAACTTAAGTGGCCGTAGGAGATGAGCCGCGTTATGACAATGTTAGTTCATCAGCCATGAGGAGGAGCAGCATACACCTGTGATCACACGGCATACTCCCGTCTGATCTCCGATAGAGAAAGTGGGCGCATTTTACTGACTAGTCATAATTTTACAAGATAAAAGTCCAGTGTTTCAGTGTTGCTGCTCTATTCGGTATAACGCATGTGTAGTGTTGCTTGGTACGTGCAAAAATGCTGACGGATCGTTACGTTAGTATTAATGAAACCGGTAGGAGCCAATTTTAAATGGTATTTGGTATTCCGTTTATTGTCTAACCGTGGTATCGTTAGTCGACTCTCTGGATAGTACTTTCATTGAAACGAGCATTTAATAAAGAGCTTATTACTCTGATAACAGTTTGTGTCGTACAGACTCAAGCAAGTTGGCTCACGTGGCGTCGTTACTTTTCCTTGTATGAGTATAGAGTGAGAGGCATGCTTAAAATCGATGCAACACCCTATACAGTTACACTTGGATGCTATACTACTAGTTGGTATGTTCGGTGCACACAATTGGAAGGCTGTCAACATATTTAGCAAGCAAAAGCACTAATCCCACACACAGAACCAAGGTATGCATCATGATACTAACTTGGCAAGCGAAGATTTCCATGGCTTTGAGTGATCAAAATAATGATTCGACTCACCGTAGCCGCTAAATGGTCTTAATAGTTGACACGATTATAAAATCCATTTCAACAAATGTAAACAAGACCCATTTTGAAGCAATACTTCGCTTAAGTATTCACTCCAGACTTAGTAACCCATTTCCTAGCAATTGGTAATTGGCCATTACAGTCGTCGTCGCTTAGACTCTCTATCTCTGAACAAGTGTCCGCTTAGAGTTGAACAATTATTCTTCTGTTATCTAGCTTCAGGTCATATTCAGCTCGCCAACGCTGTCTACTTTCACACAATCATTCTCGGTCGGCCCGCATCATCAGAAGCCATTCGATCAAAAAGGGTCTTGAATCGGAAGATCGTATTGGTTGACACGATTTATCGACAAAGACAACATTCCTGACCTCGGACGTACGTGCCAATCTCGCTTGATTCCAACTGTGGGCACTTGCTTATCATTATGTGTTTGACGTTGCATTGATTTCCTAGCGAATTAACGTGGCTGCAACACAATAACAACAGAAATGTGATGCCTAATTCACCTGTAATTGCATTATTTACATTCGTTGCCACGGCACCGTATGCCTCTATTCGTCGAGGAGTGCTCAACGAATGAGAATGAGCCAATGCTCACACTGTTGCCTTCAACATCACATGAGTGTACCCTGAGAGGTTTTGGTTACACACAGGACGGAACTTGTGTGCGCACACCGACTTCGAACTTAGTGAGTTTAACTGGGTTCGTTTTACATGTCATTTTGCTTGTTGTGTGCCTAAGCAACATTTAGGTGTCAGAGTAGAGCCGTGTCGATTAGGTTTTGGCGACCACGAATACAACAATGTTGTACCATAGGTGTGATGTATTGATTACCCAATTCGTCCGAAAAGATACTGCCATTAATATGCTAAATTCCTCTCTGAATTTCGCATACCGTTTTTTACTTCAATATGAGCCGCTAAATGATATGACGAAAATTTCGTCAAAGTGCATGGAAATCTAACTTGAAGACTAGTCCCAGGTATCCAGTACCCTGTGTTAGCAATTTTTCATCATAAGCAGTGGACCTGCTGTAGTTTGATTGTGTGATATCGTCGCCTATAACATACGCATCAAATTTTTTTCTTATATACGGATTGCATGGCGTTTTCCAGTAGATTTCACTGGAGTAAAGGAACTATTAAATAAGTGGTGTTATTAAACGTTGAATGCAATATCGCACACAGGGCATCATGGGTAAGTGCATGAAGATGGTAAAGCGCATCCCATTGAAGCTTGTGTATCCAGGTTAACATTCATTAGGTACGTTCGCATGTTAACGACGTGCGGTTCTATAGCTAGAATGTTAACTGTAAATGAATCAGAGTCGGTTAAATAATTGTCGACCAGCAGCTTAGCTCAGTTTGTTAATATCTTTCCTGGTTTGGACCACTGCGTTAAGCTACAAGTGTATTAACCAAACAAATACTGCGATTGTGTCGCACGTAAAAACACCCTTCACGTGACCATCGCACCGTTTGAATAAATACGCAAACAAGATAGACCATTTTGAGTGCCTGCCGCATTCAACGCCACTCTTGTGCTTTGTGCTCTAAATTTTATAAGATTAAAACTTGCGACTCGTAGAGTCATTTCTAATCAAACAGTTGTTTTATATCCATGGTGAGTCCCATGAGCTCTGGTCCAGACTATGCAAGTAAATATGCACAACAGTTCAATTTGTTTGTGTGAAATCACCACACGAAAAATTGCAAATAGGTTATATTTGATATGAGGCAAAATGGTTTAAACAGCTTTACACTTTCAACATTTTACATCAGGAGTCGCCGTTAGTCGATAAGATGTTAGTGGCTCAATCATTATGATCCATTCTTTGGCTTTGCAGATTTCAAAGGCAAATCTATTGTACTAATTTCTTACTATAAAACGTGAACTAAAATTTCCGTTACCAGATAAACCTGTATCAACAAAGGACAGCTCAACAGGCACATCTTATTCTTAGCTGACTTTGGCTATAGGCTACTTTATAGACAATATTCAAAAGTAATTTCCCCTTTTATTAAACGCAATCTTCATGCATTATTTGTTCGGTGCGGTGGACGCTAGTGGAAGATTTCTCAAGTAAATTTTTGGAAAACAAATAGTTCTTTAGCCGTATGATTAGCTTTGAACAATGTTTCTTTTAAATTGCTGTCATTGTACAGTTTTTCATTGACGGTAATTGCCGTGAATGTTGAAGTAAGAAGGTAAAATTCCTCAGTTATAACCTTAGAGTCACGCTTACTATGATTGAGGGAACGCTAACATAACAAGGAAATCGAATCCCTGCTCTTGCCGAAAACCTGAAGCATTTTTAACCCTTCATTAAACAGCCACAAGCGTATTAAACTAATTAATCGCCAATTGTTAGCTTAGTGAATTATTTTTATCATAACTCAATCCAGCTTAGATGTAGATAATTAACTCAGACTGCTGGATAATGTGTGGAATCAATAAACGTACTGGTCAGATATTTCACGTAAAACTCAGGCTATATATTCATGTGTTCACATATTGTCTACAACTGGCGTTTGAAAAGTTCGCCCGGGGTTTGTTTACATTTTCTTAAAGCAATTCCCTTTACGTTTTGCACTGACCTTCACCAAACCGCCTACCCACATGTATTGCCGCTAGTTTACGCCAGTTGTGCACCTGCGAACGTGTGTGGCGCGTGACGAAATACAGAGGGCTTTTCATTTGAACACTGTCATTCATGGGCAACAGTATTCTCAAGCAACGGGAACAGCAGATATTAATGACTGGATTGAAACACCGATGTGGAAATGAAGACATTCGACTGTGGGTTCTTGATGGAGTAATCTCAGGTCGGTTCTAAAATGCAGTTAAATTATTATGAATCGTAAACGAATGGTCCTTACGGTTGTAAAGGTATTTATCCATATCGTTAATCACTGTTTCGGATTACAGTAAGGTATGAAGTAGTCTAAATGGCTACCAAACGCTTGCAACACGCACAATGTTTCGTAACTATCGGACATTAGGTAGGATCCTTCCTGCCATCAATATAGCGACGACACACTATGAAGCCTTTGGAAGACTGAATACTGAGAATAGTCAGTAAGAAGCTAAAATTGTGTTGCTCTATCTAAGAAGGATCTGACACATGCGCGGAATTACGTCGCTGTTTCCTGCTTGGTCGTAGCATATTGCAGCTGTACTACATCTTACCCGGGTGCGATGCGCTCCCGATACCTGTAGTCCGCAAAGTGGACGTCAAGGAATCTCTTAAATTCCGACACTGATTTTGCCACGACTACTGTCTACGGCAATCTGTTCCAATATTACACCCCTCGACGCCCGAAGCATAGATGGTGGGTGATGCGCTTTAAATCCGGTATCTCTAGTTTGTACCGGTGTCCGCATGTGTTGCTTGCTGCTCGAACGTCCAGCATCGGCTTCAACATACGGAAGTGACCCGGGTGCAGTATCCGATGCGTCATAATGAGATCTACTCGGAGCCGACGAGATAACAAGGTCTCCTACATCGGTCCTCGTACAGCACAACCCGTAAACTGGGGTGAACTGGGTAGCTGCATGCTGTAACTATTCCAGTCTCTTCACCTCGTGTATTATGATCGGACATTAGCCGGTTGAGCCGTACGCAAACACCGGCCTAATTACAGAAGAGAACGTACGGATGGTAATCTCTTCAGACCAAGTGCAGATGATGCGACTAAGTGCCCAAAACTGACGTAGTCCGTTTCTGTACAGTCTGTTTGTGTCATAGATCACCTTCGGAACATAGCTTCAGTATACCTAGATATTGTATGGAACTGGTGAGATGCAGCGGATGACCGGCCAGATGTACCCACGCTCATTACCACTCCTTCCCAAGCCCATAAATGAAGACTTGGCTGTGTTGACCGTTAGGTCAACTTCTGCAGACCACCGGGATATGTGTTCGAGTTCTTGCTGAAGGACGTCACAGTCGTCGGGCGAATTAATCTTCCTCCGAATCTTCAGGTCATCTAGTAATAAAGCGCAGGGCGACCGAATAAGCTGTTACTTCTCTAACGTCGATAAGGAATAAACTGGGCCCCAGTACTGTGCCTTGGGGTACGCCGCTAGTGGACGGGTACCATTCCGTTAGGTGGTCATCCACCTGAATCTGGCATCTGCCAATTAAGTGGTCACTGGTCCACTGATGCCAGACGCCACCAACACCACACATTCTCAGCAAGTGGAGCAGGACCTCACGGTTCACTTCATCAAAAGCTTTACTGAAATCAATGTAGATAACTTCCACTGACTTCCACCGTTTCAACTTTTGCAATCATTCCTGCCTCGTCAACAGCCGGTTGGTGATGAATTAGCGGCCCTTCATGAGGCTGTGCTGTGCCTGTGTTTTATCTTTGGCCTCACGCAGCTGGAGAAGACCCTTTGCCACAATCTACTCCAAAACCTTCGCCAAAACAGGGGAAAACGAAGCGGTCGGTAATAGTCTACCTTATCTTGGTCACTGCCGTTTGGAATCGGTTTCACTACCGACCGTTTCTAGTTGCTTGACAATGGACACTCGGACAGCGATCTATTAAACAGACCCTTCACTGTAGATGTGATGATGGCTGATAAGGACTTTAAAATTAGAGGGTTAAGTTTATCGGGTCCGGCAGGTTTCGTGCTGTCAAGGCTGGAGAGTAGACTGCGGACGTCTATGACATTGGAATCCAGGTCCTTGAGTTCAGTAGGAGCGGCAAACTTCGAGCTCGGCATAGGCTTATGTACACTTGTTAATACGGCAATGAAGTGCTCCGCCAATGCGGACACACGTTTAATGCTAGAGGTTAGAGGCTGTCCGTCATTTCCCTCTTACACGGCTGCGTCATTTGCAGGCATCGGGTGCCGATTCACGTAAGCAAAATTTTCTTGTGGGCTGTATTGGCTAAGATTGCAAGCTCCACTTCAAGCTGCAGACGCTTTCGCGCTGTTGTGCCGTTGTATAGATACGCTACATTTTGCAGGCCAAAAGAGCGTCTGCAGAACCCGACACAAGGAATTGATTCCGCAATAAGCGTCCCCATCCAGCCCGTCGGCCATACTCGCTATCGAATGACTGTGGTTTCACTGGTCCAGATTTCCGATATTTAAGGAGAACGAAACGAGCGCACAACGATTGCACACACTCTTTTATAACAGATCAACGGGCTTCAACAGCTGATTCCTGCAGCAGCGACTACTCTACTTTGCTGATGGCTCGATTGAGATCATCGAATTGGATCTACCAATAGCTGTAAAACGGCTCCGGCGGATACGAGTAGGGCAGCGGCAATTCTAGTCTGGCTAACAACATCGCAGCCTCCCAGAGACTCCAGAACGACAATTTCAAGTACATGTTGCTCGCAACTCGTTAGTAGTAGACCATGGCACGATGGAGCGGGATGTGGTGTAAGGTGCATCGGTTGACAGATATTTGTGTCACCTCAGTTTCCAATAACATCTCCGCAAACTTCGCCTCCGTTTCATAGTGCCCTGGAAGATGTTAGGCTTCAGGTCACATTATTCGAGGGAAGATAAATCGCCAATAAGCAGGAAGTGGGGCTGACTCATGTAGTTTCTGATATACGGTAACCAATCCAGGTATCAACTTCGCGGGCTGCGATAAGCCGCACCCGCAAACATTTCACCCTGTATCAGGAGGATCGAGCACAATAACTGTTCGCATAGGCC